CACCGCTGACTGGGAGCCGCTCAAGGTCAGCCCCTCCTGCCCTCCACCGAAGCCAGAGCCCCCTCCTATATCCCAAAGCTCCCATCCTCTGCCCCACTCCGGAGCCCCCCCACTCCAGTCACATTATGTCGCGTCTTGGCATCGACCGTTTTCATCAACCGGGTCACGAGAAAAAAGTTTGAGACCTGCCTCCCCAAGTGTCTCGTTGGTGCTAGCTGGACCAGTGCACCACACCCAGCAGGTGCATGGGGCACAATTGGCCTGGGCAGCCCTACCCGCCTGCAGGGGTATGCGGGAGAGGGACCAAAAATGGTTAGTGCTTTAGTGGAGGTGGACAGGGATGCACTTGTTACGGTAGCTCCTTGCTCAGCTTCTCTGCTCATCTGTCCCCCGCCTCCCACCTCTGCCAGCTGTGGAACCGCCCACGCGTTTGCTGCCCTCCACCCCGTCCCAATGATTGCCGGTCAGGCTTATAGTAGGAGGACGGTCTAGCCCTGGAAGCGTGCGCTCGGAGAAGGCTGCGGTTTTCCTGGAGTATGTTGGTCCCAGCTGTGTCCGTGTCTGGAACGGTGCCCTCTAGCTTTAAAAACTGGACGCGATTCTCCCCTTCCCCGCCGTGATTAATGGTGCCTTGTTTTGGAGAGGGCACTGCCGTTTGCCACGGGCTGGAACATGGCGGGAGGAGGCAGCGGAGAGACCAAAATTGACCTTTTAAAATAATCTTGCGATGGGAAAAGACGGGGCGGGGGCGGGTCCCCCCTGTGGTTTATCCTCCTCCCCTCCCAAAAGTTAGGCAAAAAGAAGGGTCTTGTAACGAGAGCACTAGAGGAAGAGCACAGGCGGACGATATGGGTTAAATTTTCTGCTTTGCCGTAGGCTGCTTAGGAGAGTCACTGGCATGATTCCCATGAAACTCAAGCAGCAAAATTCCTTCGTGGATCTGGGCCTTACACACTAGGGTCACGCCAGCCTCGGATAAAGAGACTAACCTGGATCTTTCTGGCTTTAACAAACAAATACTCTTAAATCTACTTAGGCTTTGTCTTGACTGGGACACGTGACTGAGTTGAGTCCAAGTTTAAGGTGGCCAAGGCTGGCATATAACAGCACCTCACTGGTGTGCAGCACTTTTCATCTGTAGAGCTCAAAGCATTTCACAACGGGTCACAGTGTTCTCATTAGCAGCATCAGCCACCATTGCCCCCATTAGACAGGTGGGGAAACTGAGGCACGGGGCGATGATGTGGCTGGCCCAAGATCACCAGGAGACAAGGCATGGAAGGGAACCTAGACGGCACTGCACCCCTGAAGCAGCCGGCAGCAGGCCCGGCTCCTAGGTGTGGGGGTGAGGGGAACACACAGGGCTCCGTGCACTGCCCCTGCCCTGAGCACGAGCTCCGGAACCTGCTGCGGCTGGGAACCTGCTGCGGCTGCTTCTGGGGAGCAGCCTGTCTGCAGGGCCAGGAAAGGAAGCTGCTTTAGCTCCCCTGCTGCACCACTGACCGGGAGCCGCTCGAGGTCAGCCCCTGCTGCCCCAGCCCTGACCTCCCCCAAATCCAGAGCCCCCACCTATATCCTAAAGCTTGTTTCCAGCCCACACGCCAGTGACATTATGTTGGTTCTCAGCATCGACCATTTTCTTCAACTGGGTCACGAGAAACAAAGTTTGGAACCCACTGGGAGGAAGGAGAGGAAGGGGGGGGGCGGATGGAGCGACGTCGACGATGGACACACGTAGGCAGGATGAAGCCATCGGCAGTGGAGGGTTGGAGTGGCACACACGGACAAGCTGAAGGACAATCTGCAGCATTTATTACATTTACAAAGCTGTATCGTTATACAAATGTGTAACCAATAACGAGATATGAATATCCAAATATATTACAGGACATTAAAACATCATACAGGATGCAAACATACAGAGCCATTTGGTTTGTACCATTGGGGGGGGGCAAACCCCCAAACTGAGGGCACTTCCACCCGCCTCGTGGAGTCCATCTTGGCCTATGTACAAAGAGAAGGGACAGCAACGCCCGGGGAATATTTGCAACCCATGACGCCCCGTGAAACACTAGTGAGCTTGCAGGCCAGCCCCAGCCAATAGGAGGAGAAGAAACAGAAAGGGAAAGACAAATAGAACAATGGCAGCTTTATGGAGGCTCTCTACCCTGTGCTGGACCTGTGTGTCTTCTCCTCCCCGGAGACCACGCATGGCCGCCCTGAGCCGTCTCCAATGCATGTTAATTGCACCCTCTTAATCTCCCCTCTCCCCCCCGCCCGGGATCCAAATGAAGACGCCTTCTGCCCTGATTGGCTGCTTCTATGGGAAATTGATTGCCTGCCCCACTGCCAAAAAGAGGGTGTTTTCTTTACACTTCCAATCAGTCATTCTTGGGGGGGTTAATGTTCTCAAAGGTTAGTCCTAATCCCAGCCTCATTCACGGTTCACCAGTTCACTGAGTAGTGTCTTTGAAGACTGGCTGATGCTGGACTCCTTAGCACACAATAATCCCTCCTTACTAGGCAGCATTTGAAGGAAAACTGTTCTGGAAGCATAATTTACCCCTCTTTCTAGAGCCTGCTAAACCCAGGGTTGTGAGTTCAATCCTTGAGAGAGCTATTTAGGGAGCTGGAGCAAAATCTGTCTGAGATGGTACCTGGTCCTGCCATGCAGGTAGGGGACTAGACTTGATGACTTCTCATGGTCCCTTCCAGCTCTACAAAATAGGTATAGCTCCATATATTATTATTATAGGGCTCTCTGCTACAGCAGGGATTCCCAGCAATGAGGCCTCTTACAGGTTGAACCTCTAGTCCCGCACCTTCAGCAACTGTCCAGAGCCAAACCAGAGTATTTGCTGGACCACGGGAGTTGATATTGTCGAGCAGCATGACCAACACTTCCACTGCTTGCTGGGCTTTGAGAAGGCATTTATAGGGGTAGCTTAGAGCTAAACACCAGCATAGAATGCAGAGCCAGGACTGGTGGCTGTAAACAAACTTTATGGGACGGCAGGAAACTTGGCCACACCCATGATAAGTGGACATCCGGCGAACCAAAATCATGCCAGGTCACAGATGTCACTGCAGCAAGAGCGTGCCAGACTACGGACGTTCAGCCTGTAATTCTTTGGGGCCATACTTTAGTGTTTTGTTTGTAAATTCATGTTTGCTGAGCTTTTGGAATCAGGCTACGTTTACACTCTCCTGTTGGTCTCCGATTTCCCAATGCGGATTCACTCATCTCCGCTACACGCAGCCACCTGCAGAGAAAACTCTTAAGTCCTTTACAGCAGTTGGACTCTTTTCTGGCCCCTAAAAGAATACGCCGGGAGTCTGCCGGTACGTACTTATTCATTCATTCCCCCATGAAGGGACAAGAGAAAAAATGTCTCCTGGATTTTAAGGCCCAAGAGAACATGTGCTTCTGAGAAATCAGACACCCAGTCCTTTGCTTCCTTCCTCCCCCATCTTCCCACAAGAACTCTCATACTCACAGTCCTACCTGAAAGGAAAAGGATCACTTTGGATTGGAAGGGACTCTTTAGGAGAGAATTCTCTGCAATGGGACCTGTGCGTTTTCCCTCCCTCCACCCGCGCAGTTTCAAAACGCAAGATATAAGCAAAAATGCAGCATCACACACAATAAAGCTACATGCCTTTTAAAAAAAATCATAGTAACACCCCTCTTTTTTTTTTAACCCTGTCCCCTTTGCAAATAAACCACCTTTCTAAAGGCACTGTATATTTTTAAATCCAGCATGGGATTTAAAGGGGAGACGGTGGGACAGGGTAGAATTAATGAAGCTTTGAAGGGCTGAGTTGAATCATTTTAGCAAGCAATGAAATGGCTGTGGATGAGGCAAGGATGGCGAGTGGAGATTTTGAGGGAGAAGCACCTTGGTTCTTAGGGTATGTCTACACTGCAGGGTTTTTCCAGAATAACTGCCGTTAGTCCAGAAAAAAATACTTGCGTCCATACTGCTATTGCATTCTTTTGACAAAAAGTTGAAAGAACCAAGGGGTTCTTTCACGAGGAAGACGTCTTTGTACTTACGTCCACACTGCAGTCGTGTGCTTTCGGGGGGTGGGGGAATGGAAAGAACAGAGGGGGTTTTCCTCTTTCTGTGAGGAAGAAGCCTTTTTCCAAAAGAGCTTTTTCGGAAAAAGGCGTGTGTGGACGGGGAAGAGGGAGTTCTTTCGAGAGAAGAGGAAACAGGAAAAAGCACAGGTGTCGTAGTGGCTATTCTATCCATAGCAATCACAGCTTAAATGCGAGAGAGCATCCATTCAGTGTGGATGCTATCTGTCGAAAAAGCAGATTGCTTTTTCGATGCACTTTTGCAGTGTGGACGCTCTCTTTCGGAAGATGTTTTTTTGGAAGATCTCTTCTGGGAAAGCTTCTTCTGAAAGAGGCCTGCAGTCTAGACATAGCCTTAGCTCTGCCTGCCCTTTTAAATCAGCCTCCTTGGTGACCATCCCCACAGTGGAAAGACAGAAATGCTGGTTTCCTGGGTGGGAGGGGCCATACCCTCCTTCCTTTCCCACCCTGTCACGTTATTTCAAGTGCATGGCATCTGAAGCTAAGTGGAAGGCGGCTGTGGCATGAAGTTTTGCTCCCTAGGTGGAGGGGGGTTGGTACACGATGCCCCCACCCTGCAAATCCAGGGGTGGGATTTTCAAAGGAGCTCAAAATGACTAAGGAAAGGCTACCAGTTCTGGTTGACTTGAGGGGTTAGAACTTAAACCTCCTCTAGGATCTGTGGGGAGGAGATCAGTGACTTGTGCTCTTAAATTGTCTACGTGTTGTAGAAAGTTCCACCCTGTAGCGAAGGGAATGAAAAGTTAAGCCCGGGGCTTAACGCTCTGCCGCATCGAAGCCTCCCCATTGTCCTTAGAAATCTGCTCTGCCAAGAAGAACAAAGCAAATATATTGGGAGAGATGGAGCCACACTTTTTTGCAAAACCGGCTTCAGGGTTCTTCAGACCCCTCCGCCACGTTCATCTCTACATGGAATGTGCTTAGGTAGCCCTTAGAGCTGCGATCTCTCCCCCTTCCTGCCCCGTGGCACAGAGCCTACGCCAGGAGAAGGGATGGAAACTTCCCTTAGCGTGTTCCCAGTGATTGGCTCAGACCTGGCAACCAGGCTGTGGGCAAAGCTGCCTTTCTGCCATATGGGGAAAGGGAAAGGATCCCTCTAGTTGAGAAATGGAAAGCAGTCCAGGGGACACATTGCGGCAGAATTTGCAAAAAACAACCAACCAACCAACCAAAAAAAGGACAACAAAAAACCCCACACCCACAACTACTCCTCTTCAGCATGTTCTCAGAAACTGGCCCTGAGTTCTTTCCAAAAAATCGGACTCGTGGGAACTGATTTTCAGAGGTGCCCGACATCTGCAGCTCGTGCAGGCTTCAATTAGGGTTGTATGCACTCTGAGTAGGAGGGGGAAAACAGACCAAGCTCTTCCCTTTAACTCAATAGAAAACATGCCTAAATCCCTTAGGCTGTGCTGGAAATAACAGCCTCTGGGTAACGTTTTCAAAAGCACCACAGTGATTTAGACTCCTAAATCACAAAAGTTGCATCAACTTTCAGCGGCACTGCGGCTTCTAAATCATTTAGGCACTTTTAAAAATGTTAGCCAAGGGCCCTGACTCCAGGCAAGACTCTGACTCAAATTCCATGAAAGTTTGGAGACTGAAAGAACTGCAGGAATTACCACGCTGTAAGACCCTCCCCTCGCCTACACAAAACAGTCAACACCTGCTTTTAGGTTCTTCATCCCTAAACCAGAGGTAGGGGGAGGCCGACGTGACTCTTAAGGATGAGTCTTGTCCAGGCGTTTCTTTTGGAAGGAAGTGACCGAACCACCAACGCATTTACACAAAGGACTGAGGCTTTTTGGTTCATGTGCTTTGCCCGTTACCTGTGCATCCACTTCTACTGAGTGTCTCTAGCGCCTGGAGGGACCGGCCGTGTGGAACATGAAGAGGCAGCAGCTTTTACTTAAACCTGGACTCACAGGCATGCAAAAGTTCCATAAGTTAAAGTTGAAGACCAAAACAAATTTAAAAAATCATTTAAAAAATACTCACCCACATTTGTGTGTCTGTTATTTGCATTTTAAATTAATCTGGTCAATCAATAGAAAATAAGTATGTATAATATTATTTTTTCTATATACACAATATATATTTATATATAAAATGGAAAAGTCTTGCCCATGGAGTCCCTCTTAGGTCAAGGCGGAGGCTGTGCTGCCGTTGACAGTCATTTTGCGCCCCCTGCTGGAGGAGGGTGGCATTTGGTGGCAGTTCGAGGTGCCGTTGAGTAGGGTGCTAGCGTTGGTCGGGAGGCTTATCGTGGTGGTATTGGAGCTGGGTGACCCGTGGGAAGGTGTGGCAGGGCTTGGCAGGGAGGAGGAGGTGGCAGGCAAGGTGGCGGGGCTGTTGGCTTTATCGCTGACGGATTCACACTCGGACGCTCCGCTGGTGTTGGTACACTCCGAGTTTGCAGGCTGGGAGAGTTTTAGTCTCTTGCAAGCTGGCTGGACTCGGTATTTCAAAGGGAGAGGCCCGTTCTATGGAGAGGAGAAGGGAAACAAAAGGTGTTCACATCCGTGGTTTTGGAGGAAATCACATTCATAGTTACACCAATCAGTTTGGACAAAGGCAGGTTTGTCATAGCTGTGTCGATCCCAGGATATTAAAGAAACAGGGTGTAATATCTTGTTGGTCAGAGACAAGCTTTCAAGTCATACAAGCTCTTCTTCAAGTCTGAGCGAACCTTTTCACGCAGAACTGAAAGCAAAAAGAGGAGAGATTCCCAGGCACAAATGTCTACTAGCTGTCAATAGGAATGACACATCAGATTTCCATTTGTGCCTGGGCCCATCGCCTCTAAAATCCTCACTGTAAATAAATGGAATGGACGCCAGCGCATGCAATGGCTGAGGGTTTAACTGTGGTGTTGTCTCATTAACTAAACATTTCGATGGTTTCTTATAGGACATTATGTGCTCCATAATACATAATCCCTTGGGTCCCACAGGTTGGCTGGACATACAAAACAACAATCTAAGAAGGAAGCTATAAAGAACGCACGGCAGTGGAAGAGTCGGAAGAATTGTCTCGAATAAAACAAATCTCAATATTTGGATATTATAATGGAGAGCAGAGTGAGTGACATATTAATTTCTGGGTACCAATATGCTTTCCTTAGCTGCAATGGAAGATCTGCTATTTGGTTTCTCAATGGGAAGCGGGTTGAATCTTACAGCCATAGTTCTTCCTTGCCCTTTACTTCATTTAGCCTTTGACACCAGAATCATGGTGATTAACACATGCCAGCATGACGACACGAGGAACTGGGCAATGGTGAATCAGGCCCCATTGTGCAAGCACCCAGTCCGTTGAGAGAAGATTTATTATCTTGTTTTATTTTCACACCAATTTCCAATGGCTTTTTCCAGGCACACCTGTAACATTTCAGCTTCTGAGAGGTCTTTCCAGGAACTGAGCCAGCTGGCCCGGGAATATAGATGTTCAAGAAAGATCAAAAGCTAGGCTCTGGAAAAGCTTTTCAGGCTGCCTTCCAGAAAAAAGTGAGGAAGGATTGAGGAATTCAAATGAGACGCATCTTAAAACCCATCCATCTGCAAGTGACAATGTGAAAATATCCTACTGGCAACTATGCTACTGAAAAGTCTCAGGGTACGTCTACACAGCAGCGCTATTTCAGAATAACTGACATTCCGAAATAACAAAGCGCGCATCTACACTACAAGCCTTTATTTCGAAATAATGTCGAGCTGGAGGACTTCTTACTCCAACTCATGGTAACCCTCATTTTAAGAGGAGTAAAGGAAGTCAGAGGAAGAGTGTTCTCCCTTTGATTTCCTGCTGTGTAGACAACACCAAAAGCCGAAATAAGCTATTTCGATTTAAGCTACGCAATTAACGTAGATGAAATTGCGTAGCTTATTCCAACTTTAGCCCTGCTGCGGAGACATACCCTCAGAGGGGTAGTTGTATTGTTACAGAGAGAGACTGCAGAACTGGAATTTATCTACAAGTCTGTAGATGAAGTTTTACTTCATCTACAAGTCTGACATTGTTACCCTGGGCTTGAATAAAGACATGGGCTCCGTCTAGACTGGCAAGATTTTGCGCAAAAGCAACTGCTTTTGCACAAAATCTTGCAACCTGTCTACACTGGCCGCAAGTATTTGCCCAAGAACACTGACTTTGTAATGTACAAAATCAGTGGTTCCTGCACAAATACTCCGACGCTCCCGCTCAGGGATAAGACCTCTTGCGCAAGAGGGCTAGTGTAGACAGCCAAGTTAATTTCTTGCGCAAGAAAGCCCGATGGCTAAAATGGCCATCGGAGCTTTCTTGCACAAGAGAGTGTCTACACTGGCACGGATGCTTTTGCGCAAAGGCACATGCCAGTATAGATGCTCTCTTGCGCAAATAGTTTTAACGGAAAAACTTTTCCGTTAAAAGTATTTGCCCAAAATCTTGCCAGTCTAGACACAGCCATGAACTTGTTGGAGGCAATATAATACAGCTTGAGGCCAGATATGACAGTGATACAAGCCAGACAAGTACCTTAGATCCAGAGAAACTTAACCACGTGATGAAGTCCAATTAATTTCAACAGTACTTCCAGCCCAGATCCTCATTAGTATTTTCCACTGGTCTGCACTTTCCTGAACTGGAGATTAAGTCCTTTAAAGAATCGAGCCCCCAAAGGGGAAAACTGGAATTGCTGGAGCATACTTGAAACTTTAAAAACAACCCGTGGTCTTGTGGCACCTCAGAGACTAACAAAAACATATAGGAACACGGGCTGTCATGGGTAAAAAACACTTCATCAGATGAGCTGGAGTGGAAATAACAAAATCCAAGATATATGTATAACAGAAAAAAACAGTTTCCTATCAATTGTAGGACCCGTGTTAATTAGGCTAATTAAATGGGCTGGATGTGTCCCATACATAGCTTTTGATGTGAACATGCAGATGTTAAAGGCAGGAGAAATTGACTTTGTAATGCGCCAACCAGTTAAAATCTTAGTTCAAGCCCAGGGTAACCATGTCAGATTTGTAGATGAATTCCAGCTCTGCCAACTCTCTCTCTTCCTTTGTAGAAGAATGGCTACTTTTAAATCCATGATTGAGTGTCCAGGCCGGTTAAAATGTTCTTCTACAGATTTAGGTGTGATATCACTCCTGATGTCTGATTTATGTCCTTTTATCCTTTGTCACAGAGACTGTCCGGGTTGGCCATGTAAGAATGGTAACATTAAACCCTTGCGCCATTTCAAAACAAAAAGCAAACAAAGTTTATTTTTGCAGGGCAGCAAAGCCTGTCTCCTCCTAGATAGCAAGAGGGCGGTGGTTGAAAGTTCACCCTTTCCTCCCCCACCGCTGGCCCTTGGAGCACCTGGTTCTAATTAAATGCGCTAGCAGCGAAAGCGTCAAGGGAAACATGCTTTTTGATTAATCTCTGTTTGCAAACCCTGCACTTTCCCTCCTTCTGATGCCCTTTCAGAAGTGTCAGCCACAAACCCTTTCCATGTGTGGGGAAGGCAGCAGGATGTGGCGTCTTCACTGTTGCGCCGCCTACTACGGCCAAAACTGGGAGACCACAAAAAATCACCCGCATCAAGCCCCCAAAACCATGAAGTTTTTTTAGAAACTGGATTTTTTTTTTAATCTGTTTTTCTGAGCCTTTCGTGTTCACATTTTTGAGATTGGTATCCTCAGCCATGCTCTAGAAATTATCTGGGGAAATATCTATGGTCCACGGTCAACAGCAGGTCAGATTCACAATGGGTCCCTCTCCAGAAGAAGGGCCATGCTGGGTCAGACCAACAGTCCGTCTAGCTCAGTAGCCTGTCTTCTGACAGTGGCCAGTGCCAGGTGCTTCACCTGATCTGTTCATGCCCTCTGATCATCAAGTGATCCCTCCTCTGTCTCCCATTCCTAGCACCTGTCAAACAGAGACTAGGGACACCATCCTTGCTAATAGCATTGATGGATCTGTCCTCCATGAACTTATCTAGTTCATACTGAATCCCTATTATAGTCCTGGCCTTCACAACATCCTCTGGCAAGGAGTTCCACAGGTTAGTTGTGCATTGTATCAAATAGTACTTCCTTTTTTTGTTTTAAACCTGCTGTCTATTAGTTTCATTTGGTTACCCTTAGCTCTTGTGTTATGGGAAGGAGTAAATAACACATCCTGATTTATTTTCTCCATTCCAGTCATGATTTTGTAGATCTCTGTCATATCCCTCCATATAGTTTCACTTCCAATCTGAAAAATCCCAACGTTTTGTTAATTACTCTTCACATGGAGGCTGTTCCATGCCTCTAGCGCTTTTTGCTGTCCTCGTCTGAACTTTTTCCAGTTCCAATATATCTTTTTGAGATGAGGTGACCACTTCTGCACGCAGAACTCAAGATGTGGGCGTCCCATGGATTTATACAGAGGCAATAGGATCTTTTTCCATCCCGTTCTTAATGATTCCTAAGATGGTTCACTTTTTTGACCACCAAGACAATTGAGGGGATGATTTCAGAGAACTTTCAACAATGTGTCCAAGGTCTCTCTCTGGAGAGGCAACGGCTAGCTTAGACCCCCATCGCTTTTTAAAATCAAGAGGATTGGCAAGATTCTTAGCACACAGCAGCTCCTATTAGCTGGAGTGGTAGGTTTAAGACATTTTTGGAAGAATAACCTTTCCCCTTAAGGACTGTCATTTTCCGCTACTGAAAAGCCCCCACCTTGCAAAAAGATTTAATTTGCAAAAAGGGCAGAGCTATTGCCTGAAAATTAGTGCTGATTAATTGGTATTAATAATTAGGAGTCTTGCAGTAGCAGGGAGGGACTTCCCCAGCCCCGCCTCTTTTGCACAGGCCCCGCCCCCACAGAAGCCAAGCCGCCTCCCCCACTGCGGTGGTGCAGTGAGTGGCTCCAGCCTTTCCCACCTAAGCCTCCCCAGTCCCAGAGCACAGGGAGCGAGGAGGAGGGGGGACCCCAGCTGCCCTGGATCATGGGGGGGAGGGGCAATCGGGGGCAACAACACTCCACCCCAGTACGCCTGCAGTAGGCATTCTGCAGCCAAGCTATCAGTTTGGAAAGGCAACGCCTCCCCCTGCCTATGATACCCACAAGCCCTGCCAGCAGAGATCAGGTTTCCACTCTGCTCTGCGCTGTATAGTGAGAGGGAGACCAAGTGCTGAAGACTCAGAATTTAAGGCAAGAAGGGACCATCATGAGCATCTTGCCTGACCTCCCGCACACCAGAGGCCACAGCCCCTCCCCCGCCCACTCCGACAACAGGCCCATAACCCCTGGCCGCGTTAATGAAGTGCTCAAATCTTAGGGTGTGTCTAGACTACAGAGTTTTGTCGACAAAAGTGGACTTTCTCGGGAGCATCGCAGAAGGTTCCTGCTTGAGACTGAGCTTTGGAGATGGGACACTAAGTGGACAGGTGGTGGGAGAGGAAACTGAGCCAGGAAGGGATATGACCCCACCTGTTTCTCCTAGACCTCAGGTGCCCCTCCTACCCCCTGGACCACACTGGTTCTCAACAAGCAAAAATGATAATTAATTCCAGCAGAGAAGAGGAAGTTTCTTACTCACCCTTCTCCAAGGATAGATATAAGCGATGTCCATGAGCGTGTAATATTCCTTTAAAGGTTCATCTTCGTAGAGAACTTCCACCTAACAAATACAGACCAAAGTGAATCTTCCCCCTCTGATTCCAGGGGTCCCAAGGACAAAATAAAATCGGGGCTTCCCAGCCCATGGCTGGACAAAAAGGGTCAGATTTCCTGTGCCAGAGAGCTCAGCTCCCATTTAAGCACATAATGAGGGTCTGCTTTTCCCTGTGCCCAGTTCCCGTGTCAGACTAGATTTTACTACGAGCGCTGAGCAGACGTCTTTTGAAAATCTGGTCCCAGACTTTGGTCCTTAGGTGGATTCTAAACTTCTTTGGAACATCATGTAGTTGGGACCTGAGCTTTGCACAGTCACTGAAGCCACATCTCCACTTGCCACGCCCGAGATCGATCGACTAGCATTTGATTTAGTGGGTCTAGTTAAGACCTGCTAAATCGAATGCTGAGGGCAGCCCCAGTTGGTGCCGGAACCCCTCAGCAGTCGTGAGGAATAAGGGAGCATTTGCTTCCATCAGCCTCCCTCTGTGAAGATGGTGACATTAAGACCCAGCGGTGCCCCAAATTTTTGGGTGCACTACGCAGCTGCGTATTCTGCATATGGGTAAGGACAGCTCTGTAAAAGAGGGCTGCAAGACTTAATTAGCAAATGTTTGTACAGCAGAGAAAATGGGGGCGAAATAGTAGTACTGTGACGACTGCCATGCCTTTAAACAAGCGCATGTTTTCAAGAAGAAACACATAGTAAACTTCGGGGGGAAAACGCCTCTCTCGGGAGGGCACTGAAATTGGCATTTCCAGTGCCGGAGAGGTCTTAGCATCACGACTGCATTTGGATTTATTTTGGGGGAGGGGAGAGGTTCTGGGAGATATGCTCTTCTTCGGAAACAGATGGGGGCAACTCCTCAGCTGGTGTAAATCAAGGCCGTTGACTTGAAACGGGGGGATGCAATTTGACACCCGGCCTTGTTGTGCAAGGCACAGCGGGCTGCAATCTTGCTGGGAGTCTTGAGACGCTACTGGAAGACCCCAGATCAATACTACCTTTGTATTACAGTAGCGCCTCAATCAGGATCCTGTTATGCTCGGTGCTGTACAAATAGAACAAAAGGATATCTGGCCCAGAGCGTTTAATATCGAACTAGGCTAGGCAGGCTTACTGATGCGGAGGAGGGCAAAGGGGGTAACTTCCCTGGAGCCTGGCAATTCAAAGAGGCCTGGGGTTTCCAACACCCCGCTACTGCAGCAGCTTTGACGGCAGGACTCAATCAGGATCCTGTTATGCTCGGTGCTGTACAAATAGAACAAAAGGATATCTGGCCCAGAGCGTTTAATATCGAACTAGGCTAGGCAGGCTTACTGATGCGGAGGAGGGCAAAGGGGGTAACTTCCCTGGAGCCTGGCAATTCAAAGAGGCCTGGGGTTTCCAACACCCCGCTACTGCAGCAGCTTTGACGGCAGGAGCACCACATCTTCCCTTAACAAGAGGCTGGGAACACACGTTTTTTGGAACACAGCAAAAAGCGCCCCCGGAGTGTGTGTCCAGTGATGGGTGTAAGAAGGCCACTGCCCCAAGCCAGCCGGCCAAAAGGGAGAACGTGTGAATGCTTATCCACGGATGCAACAAAGACAACCAGCTGAAGGGGTGCACAGCTGGAGCCCTGACCCAGGTCAGCAGATCAAGCAGTGACCTAGGAGCCGTTGCTGGTGGCGCGCTACTCACTTTGTACTTGCTGGGAACATCCATCTTGTTGCGGAGAAATTTAGCCAGGTGCATGATGGTCATGGCAGCGGGACACTGGAGGAACCGAACGCTGTTCTTCTGGGGCCGGAGCGGAGGGAAGGCGGGGGGAGGAGGGGAAGAGAAGATTGTTACCGAGAGCTTAGCGGCTGGAGCTGGGGCGGGGAAGACGTATGTGCAGGAGCAGCTGTCAAGCTATCGTACACAAACACAGCACGGAGGGCATGAAAGATTCCCAGGGCTCCGCTGCCAGCAAGGCTGTTCTGGTTTTGCAATGCAAGGGCTGGGGAGTCCCTCCCCCCAAAAAATAAAACCCAGCAGCAACCGAAAAAAGCCTTTGGCTGATTTTTAACTCGGAGGCCTCCATGACATAAACCACATGCACACCAATAACGCCTTGCTCACTGGTGCGACTAAAATCAGAGCATTCATTCTCTCCGGGGTCTAAGCAGAAACGCCCTTGTTCGATAACCAGATAACTAACACGGCCTCTATATATTTACAGAGACACAAACACATCACACGCGTGGGCGTCTTGACTTCCTCCTTACTGGTTGGCACTCCCTGGTCCGGCACCCTCAGGACTGGATGGTCCTGGATGAGAGATTTTGCTGGACCAGGGGAGGTCATTTCTGGTCCCTCCTCGCCCTATTGCCCCACCAATAGCTGGGCCGTGCGCTAGGCTTCCTGGCTCCTGTCGTTCCTCTTGGGCCCCTTCCCCCAGCGTGCCAGGCTCTCAGCCCCCCACCTACAGCACATAGGGACTGTCTGGTCCTGGAACATCTGTGGTCTTGCCGGACCACGGAGGTTGCCGGACCAGAGAGTTCTGGGACTATCTGGTCCTGGAACATCTGTGGTCTTGCTGGACCATGGAGGTTGCCAGACCAGAGAGTTCTGGTTTATAGAGGTGCCACCTGTACTAACATTTCAGAAGACAGAGGAACTCAAATTGAAACCATGATTAATATTGCAAAACTCTAGCGGGAAAAAATGATCTCCGATCATTTGCTCTAAGCACCGAGCTGGGAGCCAGTAAATCTTGAATTCTAACCTCTTCCAACACACGGCTTATGGCCTCTTGGGCACGGTTCACTCAGGCCTCCCAAAGAACCAGGACTAAGTGTCCTTAAAGTTACAGGTTGGGTTTTGTGGGACTGGGGGGTTGGAACCTCAATTTCCAAAAGCGGCCACTGATTTTTGGATGCCCCTTTTGAGACTTCATAGGCCTGCCTTTCAGAGGGTGCTTGTGGTGCGTAGGAACAGGATGGTATCCCCTTAAATACGGGTTGAATCTCTCTAGTCAGGCACTCTCAGGAACTGTCCAGAGCCAAACCAGAGAATTTGCCAGACCACGGGAGTCAATATTGTCTAGCACAGTGTTTCTCAACCAGTGGTACGAGTACCCTGAGGGATACTGGAGAGAGACGTCTGGGGGAACGTCAACAACTAAAATTTGGAGAAAACTGAATTTTTGTTTTAAGTTTTACAGCGTTTTATTATTTTTGTACTTTTTACACCCAAAAATTTCATTGCCCACCTGGCTACGATTAAGGGCTGTGTCTAGACTGGCAACTTTTTCCGCAAAATCGTCTGCTTTTGCGGAAAATCTTGCCAGCTGTCTACACTGGCCGCTTGAATTTCCGGAAAAGCACTGACGATCTCATGTAAGATCATCAGTGCTTTTCCGGAAAAACTATGCTGCTCCCGTTCGGGCAAAAGTCTTTTTCCGAAAGACTTTTGCGCAAAAGAGCCAGTGTAGACAGCACAGTACTGTTTTCCGCAAAAAAGCCCCGATGGCGAAAATGGTGATTGGAGCTTTTTTGCGGAAAACCACGTCCAGATTGGCCACGGACGCTTTTCCGCAAAAAGTGCTTTTGCGGAAA